AACGAAACTGTGAAAGTTAATGTATTGCCCCGTCCAGGTTTTATTTCCGAATATCCGGCGTTGTATTGCACAATCATCTTGTCCATGTAAGAAGACGCCTAGGAATGCGAGTTCGCTGTTCGCCTCCATTTCTGCAGTAAATGTTAGTGCTGTGTGGGCCATGTTACACTTTTTAAACTAGGACATCGGTATCAGTAGTCTTATTTTTCAGGCAGAATATATCATCAACCTGTCGACCATAGAACTTAAGCCCATTGATTGTATCTTTGAGATTCCTTTCCTTGACTTTGCCCATGGAGGCATTTGCGAGGAATGTTCCAAGTGGTAACCCCATTGCCACTCCGTCTATTTGCTTGTACAACTGTCCATTACACAGAAACTGTACCTTTTTATGTACAGCACGTCAGTAGTTCTTTTAGCATCTCCACTGTCATCCCTATCTGGTAGTTTGTTTCCCGTAAAAAGTCACATAGGTACTCTATGGTTTCTTCTACCGGTATGCTGGTAAACAGTGAAGATACATCTAATGACAGCATTTTCATTTCGCCAATGTTAGTATCCTTCAGGCTTCGGGGGTACAGAGAGATCTGTAGCGGCTTCAACTTTTCGATGAACCATTTTGCAATGGAGTGGTAGGGCGAGTTTCTCATGTTCAAGATAGGACGGAGCGTTATGCCTTGTTTATGAATTTTTGAAGGCCCTACATTGTAGGTATTGTAGTACAAACGGGTCTGAGTGCCTCCAGCTCTTTGTCAGGTAAATATCCTTCTTCGTTAAGCTCTTTAAGGAACTTTGCCAGATGGCCTTCAATGGCCTCTGTCCGGTCCTTGTCTCTATCCGATTTTGTAAACTTCGTGCGATCCAATAGAATTTCTTTTAGTTTCGCCACATAATTTTCTCCTCCGTCAATACAATTCCCGAACCTTTGTCCGGTTTTGTAATCAAGATATTTCCTAAAAGGCGTCCATCTCATCAAAAGGTGAGGCGGATTTCCCAGGGAATTCGTTCATAGTGATATGATATAAGATTCTGTTACGAGGAAATTTTATTGGAAATGTTAACCTAGTGGTAAACGCGTTGGGGGTCAATAATAGAGAAAACAGATGAGTTTATCAAGCGTTGCACAGAGGGGGTAGTCGTCCGTTGCGACTGCGCAATGATTTGGCCTGAAAACCGAAAACTGAAAATTAACAACTAGAGTTAAAACTAAA